TGAGAATGGTTCATTCAGATAGATGAACGGGCCATCTGAGTGACATTTTAAAACATTATTCACACTTTGCTTTGTTTTATGTGGTGTTTAGCAGTCATACAGACTGGCATGCATCAAAAATGGTTTGGCAAACATGAAGGGATATCTAATTTTATAGGAATTATCTGTCTCAGGCAAATTCTTGATCATCTTTAAAAGATTCAGTACCACAAATCTGGTACACTTTGGCTATTTTTCAAAAACCATCACTCATTGTAGCAGCCTGATAACTTCTAAACAGAAAGTTCAGCAGTTAGCAAATAAAAGCTATGAGACTTCTTCCAGAAAAAAAACCCTTTTAAACAGCTTTGTGTATATATTTTAATATATTTATATATTTTATTAATCAATCAATTATTGCAATTGTGCTCCATAATTAAGTCACTTTAAAATTTTTATTTACTGCTTTATTGCTTTGTATAAAAACATTAGCTAAATTAAAGGTGGGGTATGTATTTTTTCAAAAACGCTTTAGAAAACTGAGTCGGGCCGAGTACCAAAACAACTTGTAGCCAATCAGCAGTAAGGGGCGTGTCTACTCATGATGCAGAGGAGAGAGCGCTTAGTGCACAGGACGGACATTAGCCGAGCAGAGCGACAGAAAGATAGAGATGGTAGATATAAAAAACAAAAGAGGAAAACGTCTGCGGAACAAAAGAAGGCTTACGATAAGGCAAGAAGTAGGACCCGTGTAAATATCGGGTCAGCTTTCCAGCGCTGGAGAGAACTCAAGGAGTGGAAGGCCTGCGATCGGACGCCGAGGTTGCTTTGGTTCTTCTCGATAGGTGAGTAACACCGTGTCTCGCGCTGCAGCAGCTAAAGTCCGTCTACACTAGACGCGATACAGCGACCGTTGAAAATCATTTGAAATTTGTGTCAATACGTCATAAATAGAATGCAGCATGCGCAGCAGTTTTCTGTCTGGGATTTGTCGGGTCGTGCCGCACCGCATCCAATGAAGACTGCATCACTGATTATAATGAGTTCTATAGTATTTTGTTGCACTGCGCCGCTTGCGTCCGGTGTAGACACGGTATAACATTGGTTTTGCTTTGTTTCACAGAACTAATTGTTGCTTGGGTTGCGTACGTATGTGTGGGGCTGAGCTATCAAAATAGGGGCGAGACCCTTTTGGGGTAGGGGCGTGTTTGTTTTGTTGATTTGAAATATCAACATTGGCTAACAGAAATCACTTACCCCACATTTAATAATTATTAATCTAGATTCTGAGCTGAATCCTCAGTGCTCATGTCATTGCATTACATTAATTCAGTAATACTTATTGAAAATATTTGCCGCTGCCACTACACCAAACATTCAGTTTTAGTAAAGAAATCCCATCTTTTAACAACACCACCCCTCATTTCTACAGGGAAATCAGCTGTATGTGTTTAGAAAAGGAGACTTAATAGTTCTGTAATTTAGAGTCACCAATGCGCTTATAACAAGTTGTTCATAATTAATCAACCAAAATTGTTCTTTAACAAAAGCCAGACACCAGAGACCTTCCGGTAAGCTAAATTTGTGCACATGTAGGCCTAGTAGATGAAATTACTAATGTATTTAGAACGATTTTGGGCATGCATGCAAATTGCTACAAGCCATTTATTATGGGTCTAAAGGCACAAGAAAAGTTCTGATTTTCCACCTCCTCTCCAATCCCAAAAGGCTTTAGGGCATTGGTAAGTGCTGTTCACTCTGTGATAAGTCGGTGTGGGTTCTTGTTTCAGTGTCTCTCAAAAGGTTGTTAAGTCTGTCACTCCGAGCGATGCTGCTGCTGTGTGCAAGCAATAAAAGTTATTATGAAGAAAGTTTGTAACCAAGCAGTTGACAGTAGCCATTGACTTCCATAGTATCCATATAAAAGTCAATGGCTACTGTCAACCATTGTCTACTACTGTCAAAATATCTTCCTTTGTACTCATACACAACTTGAAGATGCAGTAAATGATGACAGAATTAAAATTTTTGGGTGAACTAACCCATTAAAATGTTATCAATTTAATTTTCCAAATACCATGAAATTGGAATACGGAGTTTGTGTAGTTAACATTCTTGGATGTTTATCCTTGTAATTAGATACTGCAGCTTGTTCTAGAAGTAAACATGGAGTGATATACAGGCCATATGATTAATCTCTGTTGGGATAAAATCTGTTAAAAAATGTAATTTGCATGAGGTATTGCTGTATGCGAATAGCAGTGACTCAGACTTACCGCAGCGATTAAAAAACAAAACAAAACAAAAAACATGAAGAGGAGGGTTAGAGAGAAGGAGGGCGAGCAGGGGTGGGAGAAGATAAACAGTTGCTCCTATTGAAACCAGTTAGAGATGATTTTTGCATTTTTGCTCAAATAAGGTTTAATTTTTCACGCTTGCGAAGCTGATGAGTACCAAGCGAGACGGTTCTGTAGGAATAAGCGAATAAGCTTCCACTGTGACAGTTCCCTTGAGAAATGTGATCATGGCTTAAATGGAAATAACTCCCTAATGCGTTTCTGAAGAGGCTGTGATAGCTTCATTGAAGTTCTTTATTCATTTTAACAGAATCGAATTCAAATCTCCCACTAAACGACCACATCACCTATTGTTGCGAACACAGTTTTAACTAGGGCTTTTGAAACTCCATTATACCTTCATTTCATATGAGTGCAAAGGGACAGTACTATTATTGTGCTGATGAGCCTCTGTATTATTATCATTTGTGCTATTGCTATCTGTGCAACAGTACTATTTGCTAGCTGAAAGGACATAATAAGGTGCTGTATTACTCTGTTCTACTGTAGTGAACCAGGGTAACTCAAATAGATGTTGCCACCAACTTTTAGTCAGCCACTGAGGTCTGGTATTAGGCTAAAACAATATCCAGAGAGCAGAATAGTTCAACCAAAAATGAAATGTTGCTGAAAATTTACTCACAAACTCATCTACATCTTGGATGGCCTGAGATTTATTTATTTATTTTTATTATTATTATTGGAACAGATTTGGAGAACCTTAGAGTTACATCACTTGCTCACCAATGGATCCTCTGCAGTCAGAATGAGAGTTCAAACAGCTGATAAAAACTAGTGGTGGCGAGATGAAGCTTCTTTAAGCTTTGAAACTTTCCGGCCAGATGCGTTGAAAAGTGGTTCATTTCTCGAGGCTTCAAGAAATGAAGCAGTCGTGGCCTAATGGTTAAAGAGTCAGACTTGTAACCTGAAGGTTGCGGATTCGAGTCGCAGGTCCGGCAGGGATTGTCGGTGGGGGGAGTGAATGACCAGTGCTCTCTTCCACCCTCAATACCACGA